CAACACTAACACCGGCTTACACAATGATCACAGACAATCCATATCGCTGCTATAATGTTCTTTCAACACTAACACCGGCTTACACAATGATCACAGACAATCCATATCGCTGCTATAATGTTCTTTCAACACTAACACCGGCTTACACAATGATCACAGACAATCCATATCGCTGCTATAATGTTCTTTCAACACTAACACCGGCTTACACAATGATCACAGACAATCCATATCGCTGCTATAATGTTCTTTCAACACTAACACCGGCTTACACAATGATCACAGACAATCCATATCGCTGCTATAATGTTCTTTCAACACTAACACCGGCTTACACAATGATCACAGACAATACAACTGCGATAGTGTTTTTAAACTGTAACACCGGTTTAAACGATGATCACAGACAATAATCGGTGTCGTTGGTATGGCGTTTACTGTCAATTACGGCAACGACACTTACGATTAGGCCTATAAAAAAATGCCTTGTTTCTGGTTGCCCGACCGACCATACGTAAAAATGCCCGACCCTAAAGTTTTTCAAAGCTCCCCCCCCAAAAAAAAATCATCTCCCAACAGACCGTAATGAAAAACGCCTTTCTATTAATATTTTTCATTAAACTATTGCACCAATCTGCTACCATAAGAAACCACCTCTCTGATTCGTTAGTTGGTGTGTCAACGCTCTCAGCCAATTACAGCTGAGCTTCCATTCAGGAAATGTCAAACATTTCATCCTAAACTAGATTCAAATGATTCATAAGCAGACATCAACACATGTTAATATGGGCGAAGTTTCAATGGACATTGGGACAGACCAATTAATAGACATGTTCGGTGTCAAATTAAATGAATTTCACTGTTAGCCCCAACCCAAAATGCTCCGCGGAAGTAGAAAGTACTAATAGATCAAAGAACGCTAAATCAGCCCAGTACTGCGCCTATCTACCCTATGTTTTTCAGCATGTAATAGGAAACAAAGAATTTTCTTCTAGGCCTTATCGCAAACAGTCAATATTGTTGCTATGAGGTTTAGTGTCAGCCATGACACCGGTTAACATACTACTAAGTGGTGATGCTGTAAAAGACAGTGCTGCATAAAGAAATGTGATTTAAAACACTACGGTCGACTTAGTACATCTTTCAATATCTGGATTATGGCCAATAATTTATTTTCACACAATGAAAACCAAAGGTGTACGATGTTATTGTAGTGAGTTCATGCTTACGTAATACTAACCTTTGCCAAAACTAGCATTATAAATTGTTTATATGAAGCTTTTCTGTTTATGCACGGTAGCTTTTGGCAAATAAAGTACTATAAACTATTTCTATGAAGCTTTTCCGTTTATGTGGTACTAACTTTGGTAAATATAACAATGTTAATTGTTTCTTTGAAGCTTTTCTGTTTACGCAACACTAACTTTGGGCAAATAAAGTAGTATTAATTGTTTCTTTGAAGCTTTTCTGTTTACGCATCACTAACTTTGGGCAAATAAAGTAGTATTAATTGTTTCTTTGAAGCTTTTCTGTTTACGCAACACTAACTTTGGGCAAATAAAGCAGTATTAATTGTTTCTTTGAAGCTTTTCTGTTTATGCAACACTAGCTTTGGGCAAATAAAGCAGTATTATTTGTTTCTTGTAAACTTTTTCTGTTTGTGTAACATTAGCCTTAACAAATAAAATTCTGTATACATTTTTTTGAAAACTTTCAAAACGAATATTCCAGTTTTAAAACAATTTTTTATAGTTGCGAGATGAACTTGATATATAAATCCAACGTAATCATGACGGTCATGTTGTTAGTGTTAAACCGGATGAAATAATTTCCACCAATAAAGAAATGTAGGAATTTTGTTTGTTTCTAAAGATTTAGCAACGCTTCATTTTGTAACACTATTTTTTTTTCTATAGAATTAATACAACTAT